CCACATTATCCGGCTGAACAAAACGTGCACTTACCAAACAGGTTCGTTTTCATGTTGCTGTTTTAAAAACTCTCCAGCAGAGGGCAGTGTTGCTCCAGTAATCTGTGTGGTGGACAGATGTTTACTCAGCTGTCACCAGTTTTTCCACGAGTGACTCATGTTTCCTTTCCCCGTGTCTTCAGGTTAAGTTCAACCAGGCTCTGGCCGACCACTCCATGTCTGAAAAGCCTCGCCTCATTGATGGGATTGTTCTCACTAAGTTTGACACCATCGATGACAAGGTATGTGATAATGGAGTTTTGTAGACTGACCTGTAAGTTACTTCACAAGAGCTCCCTCAACAAAAAAAGTGGAATATGGCAGTATATAAGATTAGTGGCAAACACACTTTTATGATACTTACACGTTTGTTCAGCAGGATAGTCTCCACTAGGGATGTCCCGATCACCTTTTTTTGATTTCAATTGTTCAAAATCCGATTCCGATAATTTGATTTTGACAATTTGCCGATACCGATTTTTCCCGATCCGATCTTTATGCAATGCATTAAGAGAAAAAAAAGCATTCAAGTTGTCCCTTAAGGTTATTTTTTTATTTAAATTGGATATTCTATCCAACATGGATATAGCTTCTTTCTTTCACAGCAGCATTGGATCAGTTCAGTTGTGCAGCATTGGATCAAAACAAAATAAAGCTTTCAGTACTCGTTAGCTTACTGCTACAATTAGACACTGCGCCCTGCCCACTCTGTTGCCAGATTTGAGAGAAATAAGCAACCAGGTCTATGAAAACAAGCCCCAAAGAAGCAACACATACATGATGTTCTGTCATTTGAAACCAAAACTAAGGCCTCAGGATGACTTTAAGACTTGAACATGGTAATTTTAGTTTTGTAACATTGAATACAAAATAAATAAAAAGTATTTAAATTTTTTTATAAAAAATCCCGATCCCCGATTTTTTTCCTCCCGATTCCGATCTTTTGAAAATCACTTGATCGGCTCCGATCCCCGATCACGTGATCGGATCGGGACATCTCTAGTCTCCACATATTAACAACACTTTTAAAATTCTTGACGGGTTTTTTTACCGTCAAGAATGTTTGGACATTTAAGAGTTGGGTATTCACTGATTTATTTTATGTTGTAGAACATAATGTGAAAATCTGTTCAGCTTGGGTAAACCACAGACCAAAAGCCTTGTTTAAAGTGGAATCTGAAATGGTGAAATGCTGACTCATAACTGCAAAACTATTTCTATCTGGCTTTAACCATGTGATGTTTTTAAAAGTGTCACACTCATGTGTCATCCTTCCTCCTTCACAGGTGGGTGCTGCCATCTCCATGACTTACATCACAGGCCAGCCCATTGTGTTTGTGGGCACCGGGCAGACCTACAACGACCTGCGCAGCCTGAACGCCCGCGCCGTGGTCAGCGCCCTGATGAAGGCCTGAGAGGCTGCATGACCCGCTGTGTAACTCATCGTCGCAACAACGCCAACAAAAACCTTTCTGCCACAGCCGTGAGATGTCCACCCTTGCTAACCTGCGTTTCGTCATCCCCTCTCTCTACTTTGCACCAAATGAACTCATGTCATGCACAGGACTTTATTTTCCCGGTAAAGTGTGCACATTGAAAGACGGAACATTTTTGCAACAAATCCAGAGGGGCCTCTCCATGAGTAATTCGAAACTTTCGGGCTGAAAATAAAAAGCTAAAACAATGGTCCCATCCAAGTGACATTCTAAAATGGACCTCGGCTGTAACATGTCATCAGTTTACTGCGTGATTCAGTAAAGAACAAATTAAACTCTACCTGGCGTTTTGTCAGTCAGTTTTCCCCTCTTCATGTAAATGAGGTCAGGTCGTGAAGGCTCGTTGACATTTCAGCAGCTGCCTGTGCCTGAGGAAAGCTTAGTGACCATAGTGCCTATCTGTCTCTTTAGTTACCACGTTCACTACATGGGGTGGTGTAAATGAATATAACAATGGCAGTCAGAAAGCACCATCCAGAGGGGTCTCATTCTGTACAACATACAGATGGTGTGCATGGATATCAGAACTTGTGAAGTTAGATGTTGTACTCTGTCAAAAATGGAAATCACAACTAGCAGCTACGGTACAATAGTTCTGGACTGATTGTTCTATGAAAGTTATCTCCCAGAGCTCTTTACCTACCTTACATTTTAATGACTAAATGGACACGTTGATTCCTCGGTTCATAAATGATGAAAATATATTTTGTATTTGATCTCTGTTGTAGAGGTTTTCCATTGATTTTCAGACTTGTGTGGTCTGTTGAAGTTATACACGCCTTCTTATTTATGTTTTCCCCCCCCTCTGATTTACTTCTTCTTGTAAGAGGAAATATAAGTCTTAAAAATCTCTAGCCCCCGCCCCCCCCTTTAATTTGCAGTAGTGCAATATGAGAGAATTGACAATTTGAGCTAATTTATGAGAATGTAAGCATTTCTAAATAAAGCTGCTGTATGGTATAACAGCCAGTGGAACTTTTTCTGTCTTGTCACGTGAACCAATACAGGCGGCTCCAGTATGATCAAAAATGAGAAGACAAATGGGATACCAAAAGCTTTATTTTGGAAAAAGATACTTATAAATACTATGTCAGAAAACTATTATAGTATTAAAAATTACAAAAAAGGCTTACAAAGAACAGAGGAGTGGCAAAGTGATTGAAACAGACTGGGAGCATCTCTGCTATGAAGACTTTTATTTTTAGAAAAGGATTTTAACAATGTATTTGCAAGTAAGCCATCCATCACTGTGATAAGTATTTCCACCCATCCAGCAGTGTGCAAGTCAAGATGTACTGGTTTCAGGGACAGAAACAATACTTGTACATCAACACAGCATTTCTATTGGTTAAGAGCATGTGATGTGCGTTAATGTCTGCGGCTACAGGTCCGTTAGGTCAATGTGTTGCGGATTGTTTGCATATTTGTAACCCGAATCCAATCGATGCATCAACGTGAACATCTGTCAGTGGATCTACGATTTGTCACATTCAAAAAGAGAACAAAACATTCATCACCAATCACCATTTTGTAACATTTCTTTTTACTGCAGCTCTCCAAATATTGAGCAACATTTCATAACAGTCCCGCTCAACTGTGAGGTTGAGTATTGGCAGTTACTTTAAACTTCCTTTTCCCTTTTTAAACCAAAGATAATAATAATAATAATAAAGAAAATCACAGACACCTGTGAGACACTGTCAACAGTTTGTAAGTCTCCCATCACCCATAAATCCATTGATTGAAATCAGACTTGTGCTACCCAAAGGAGCCGTGGAGGAACATGACTGATACTGATCCCGACTGTGTGCCTGTCAAGAATGATGGTCTGGGGCAAAAAGAGAAGGAAGGGACTTAAGTGAGCATTTGAGAAACAGAGAGCATCTACCAGCGAGTGCCATGCATGCAATACTGCAAAGTCAGATGTGTGTGTTTGTGTAAAGGGAAACCAGCAGGTCTTTTGATACTGAAAATCCAAAACAGTTGAATTTTCTATCTACCAGCATGCAGCAAGAAAACAAGCCTTTCACATTTTTTTTTATTCTTGAAATGTCCCCGCCAGTGGCCACTGTGTGAAGTCAAAGAGAATCATTTAGTCCTAACCTTGAAGGAGGCTTTTCTGTGTGCCGTTAAATCCGTTCTGCTGTTCTTCCCCATTTAGTGCAGGAGACCCTGCTGAGAAAGATACAAAGGAAACGCATTTTAAAAGTGAAATGTGATAAATCCCAGGGGGACATTACTGGCATTGATCCGGACCATTGACCTTGTATAAAATTCACAAGTGGACCTTTAACAAAAAAGTTTGAGTACCCCTGGTTTATAGCGTCACGTTTGCTGATTACTACATTTACACTTCCATTATAACTGGTGTTAATATGTGGGAATGATCCTGCGTAACTAAATGTGTAGGTATCAAACATTCATTTTCTGCAATATTCAAAAATCCAATGGATAAATCCCATAGTTTTTTTTCTTAAAAAGTAGAGCTTACATCCAAGTCAGCCTTCAAAAATACATCATCACGGCATCACTCAACACAACAACATATTCCCTAAATCAAATCTGCAAAATGTATTTCAATAGTCCTTACCCCATCCGTTAGTAGTCACGTCCCGGCTGCAGATCTCATTGGCCAGCCTCTCGAAGTACTCTGGCAGGTCGGCATACTCGTCTCCATAGGAGATGACCTTGATGCCCTTGTCGAGCATGTTGTCACGCAGCTTCTTGAACTCGCCCACGTCCTCTCGTCGTACGAGCATGAAGTGTTCCAGGTCCGACTTGTGTTTCACGGCCTCCAGGAACAGAGCCTGGAAGGTGGTGTCGTCCACTGTGCGCCCGCAGCCCAGAAACACAAAGGATTTGGTCTCATACAGCTTCTGGATCTCACGCTGTTGAGACCAGCGGTAGTGTTTTTATTATTACACTTACGCAAAAGCTACCATTTCAAAAACATGAAAGTATGCAGACAAAAGCAATTTTGGTCATTTACACTTCATGTACTTAGTGGGAAACATCACCGTTAGAGTGGTGCAGGAATGAGTCCTAAAACACGGAAATTAGCATTTTGGCACTTTCAGTGTGCTTGCCTCAAAGTCAATGGTTTTTTGAAAGGTGGCTGAAATGATCGGTGGTAGTTTATGAGATTTTCAAGTTTTGTTCTACAGCTTAAAATCCATAACTAAATAACAGTCTCCCTGGTGAGTGTGTGAAGCTTTTGTGTGTCGTGAAAATGGCTGTTGATCGTAAAGCAGTATCGAACGAGACCACTTAATGTTATTACATGGAACACGAGTGCACCTTTAGCTTTAGCAACTTTAGCTTTAGCAATGTTAGCTTTAGCAATGTTAGCTTTAGCAACGTTAGCTTTAGCAACGTTAGCGGTGGTGATGTGAAGCCATGCAACCTGTACTTTGTTTATAGCCTACCGTTTGTTTTTGCTTTTGTTCATTGTATTAATGCTTCAAAAACCATAGAAGTGGTATTAATATTTTTAAATCGGCTTTTTGAAAAGAATATGTAAGTTTCATAAACGTTGTTGCCACAAAGCTTATTTTCTGCTTTAATCTAAAAGCCAATAGAAAATTCAAATTNGGTTTGTTTCACCAAACCATCTAGGAAAGCTCCATTGGAAGCCATTTGGAAAGGGCAGGCACTTTCAAAAATACTTGGCAAGTGATTGGATCAATCTGTCTATCACCTTCTATCATGGGCCACTTCTGATTAGTTAACAATGGCTGGTACATGTGGAGCACAGCACTTCTGATTGGTGTGGATGACTGACACACAAGAAGAAGAAAAAAGGAAAAAAGTAAAAAAAAATCCTAGGCTTTGCGATTTGATAATCGCATCATTTCAAATCGCGATTTCGATTTAAAATTGATTAATCGTTCAGCCCTAACCCACACGCAGTACGATAACGGCGGGAAGGGGACATTTAGCAAACAATGAGCAGCACTGTGATCTAGAAGGAGAACTCGTGCAATGAAAAAAAGACACATTGATCCTTGGGGCACAGACACTAACGCTAAAGTGCACATGGTTCTGAATTATTTTGCTGTAAGGTATGAGCAGCGTTACTACACCAACCACTGTCTTCTCACAAAAGAAAACAATGTACTAAGTGTCCACACATGCCCATTGATTTGTCAGGTCTTAACTCAAGAATGGACAAATAGTAGTTAAACATCAGAACCTCCAAGATGGAAATATAGATGAAACCTTAAGATGCTGTGAACTGTCCTATGACTGAAAATCAAGACTTCTGCAAACTCTTCTCATAAAATAACCTTTAAAGGAAACAAAAAAAGAGAATCAAATGTGACGTTGACATATCATTTTTTATTCCTCATGTTATAAAAACGTGTTTGAACTCTAGCATACATGTTTTGTTTGAGTGAGCCCTACGAGGAACTCAACCCCTGACTCAGTGTTTGACATGTTTGACATGTTCATATTCACTAATGGCATGCTAAACATGTTTGAACCTGATCCAAATGACTGCACTGACTTCCTGGGAAAACATATATAAATACCAGTCGGCAAATGTCAAATTGCAAAGATATCAAGCATGCTTTCACAAACCTACAACAAGCAGCCTTTTAATAGGATTGGACTCTTGAGTAGACGGTGTTATACCATGTGACCTGACCACGTGTGTCTTATAAATAATCATGTTCATTTTAGGCCAGTTTGAGCAACAGCTGAATGAGTGTCTGTTTTTGAGCTGCTTCTGAGCTGGGTGGAACCACAGAATAATAACACTAGAGTAATTAAATAACAAATGAAAGCCACAGTAGTGTAACTTCCCCTTGAAGACAGACAGAGAGCAGATGTGTTAATGGTTAAAGAACCAATCAAATCTCCTATCTTGATTTACTTCACTTAAACCTAAACATGTTTACTAGTTGACTCGTATAGTCATGTAAACCTGCTCGTAGTTATTTGATTTTCACCCAGACCCCCCCCTTTGCACTGCCACAGGTGCCAACTCAAGTGAGACTTCAGGTGTCAAGTGTAAGCCTGTTTTTCAAAATACCTACTCAAGTGCAACCATGTCCTGTACAAACACACCATGTAGCTCTCTGATCCTGTCCACAGCTCTTCAAGTAGCATCTCAAACATCACCCGAGCCTGATGAGAGATTATAGGCTGGGTCTAAACCTCACCTTTACCTGGCAGAGCCAAAAGAAGAGGCACGGAGACAGGCAGCTAAGAATAGCACTGTAGTGTGGAGGTGCAGGGACTACGGTAATCCTAGCACAAGGAAATGCTCCACTGACTTTCACAGATTACAGCTCTAATGGGCTAACCAGCGGGAGTCCTTTCCACAGGAAGAAGCTCATTATGCACATCTAGTGTCTACAGAACCCGCCCTAATCACTGTGTCCTTGGACTGACTCAAGGCTTATGCAATAAACAAATTAAATGCAAGTAAACAACTCTGGTTTTTCGATATTCATGCTAATCGATTATTGTTCAGAAATATATTTTACTCAAAGTTGAATGCTAGCTTTGGATTGTTCTACTGTTGACAGGCATAAACATAAGTGTGACAGCCGTAACATGTGCTGACTTTTCCCACTTTTGGCACTGGACGTAAAATCACACAGAGATACAAAGACTCAATCTTTTTCCACAGACCTCCTCTCACAATGATAGTTGAAATGGAAAAAATAAACCGTTAACAGAAGATCGAATGCCTCCTCCACTTAACCCTGCGGAAATAACAGTTCATAGTTCTGGCCTGAATCAATCAAATAAACGTGTCAACAAAGTTGTTATTAGGCTTTTATTTGCCAAGGTCAATCAAGATTTACAAGAAAATAAACTAGTTTTCACTTCAGATTAGCCTCATTATCTGAAACACCATAATCCATCTGAAACACAATTCCATGAAAAGTGGGTTAAACTCTCCCAGCGGTAAATAGAATTCACCTAGACTAAAAAGGCAAGTGTCTCACACATTCATATGCATGTCATAGTTTATATCAAATAAGTACCGTAATTTTCGGACTATAAGCCGCACCTTTTTTCGACGCTGCGGCTTATATAACGGTGCGGCTAATCTATGGATTTTTACAGCTAACGGCCACTAGGGGACCTCCTACATCTATGGATTTTACAGGTTACAGTCCACCACCTTTAACGCTATGGGCTCTATGGCCGGTCCGCGCCCCCCAACTTTAAGCGGCGGGCTCCAGCAGGAAAAGCTGGAGGCCGGAAAAGAGTGAGACAGGTAGCGCGCAAAAGTAAAAGTGGAACCGAGAGTGGTACGAGAGGAACGAGAGCAAGACAGTTTGTCCCCGTACCACTGGTTGAAAACCACTGCTGTAGATCACTGCCGGTACGTGCGCTGGGAGCGCACCGTTTAAGTTTGAAAGTTGAAAAGTTTGTGTGTCTGAAACGCTATGTGATACAGTACAGTTTACACAGCACATGTTCTGTAGCTACTATTGCACTAAATGGTAACACTTGAATACGTTATGCAAATATGCAACTTGTTTGTTGAAATGTTAATAAATGGGAGCTTCCTCAAACAGCCATCTCTTTCCCGACAATCCCCTCTGTGCACGAACCCTTACATATGGTAATGAAACATTAAAACACCTGCGGCTTATAGTCCAGTGCGGCTTATATATGTACACATCATTCAATTTAGCTGCTGCGGCTTATATTCAGGTGCGCCTTATAGTCCGAAAATTACGGTAAATGTTATCATTAACTCAGGTCTAGTGATATATTTGCAGAAGTGTTAAGTGAATGGAACCACTACTAACTCATGTAATCTTCTGTATTTCACCTTATCCTGCCTGTTTGGGTGCTGCTTTAAGTCTGTCTGAATGGAAAATGTGTGCTGGTTCACATTAGTCTATGCTTGTTGTTGTTCCCTCAGCACGCCGGATCCTGCTGACTGTAGCAAACCGCGTTGGGCTGGTGTCTGCACGACTGTGGATTGAAATAAACACGATGGATAAAGCCATAAAAGCGCTGCTTGTTCCCTTTGTGACAACAGGCGGAGGGAAGAAACAAAGCGCGTTTTATCAATGTCAATGGTGCGATGAGACATGACTAACACAGGAGGCAAACTGTAATAAGGCTCCCATCTGCCAGCCTGCTCCAGACCTCACCAGTTCAATACAGGTAGACATCTGAGTAATATGGAAGAGATATGATATGACACCACCAACAGGAAAGGAATAAAGTCAATAAGAGGAACATTTTCAAAAGTTGACACTCCCTCTCTAAATACAGTTTGGGGAAGTTGTTTTTATTATGTAGGCTTCGGTTTGATGTTGACACTCAGTGGCTATACTTCCTATGTCACCCTATAATTGTAGTTGTCTGCATTACACCCTAAAACTCTTGTTGTGATGAACTTCTGGTTTAAAGTTAATGTTTTAAAATGATTTCTATGAAAAGGGGATCAAGATTTGATGGTGCATATAAAGCCATTTTACTGCTGTTAACCTTAAAAGGTGGGGTATGTAATTTATTTCAGAAACACTTTTTGTTATATTCCATGGAATGCTCTTAACATCCCGATAGCAATGAATATATTAAATGCTTTGACAATAAATACATAAAAAAAATCTGTGGAAGCCGTGGCGTTGTAAAAAGCACGACCAATCATCTGAGCCGGCCCGGCTAAAATAACTGGATGGCCTACCTGCCTGTCAGCCTTCCATCTGTGCACAAACTTATCTCGTGCCCTCATTGGTCATGTGCGCGTTCGTGTGTGTTGGAGGAGGGGCTCTGTAAGGAAGTGGCAGATTTTTTCCAGTTGTGTATTTTTAAATTATAGCGCACTCGAGCTGGTTTCTCCAAAATTACCTACCCCACCTTTAACTAGGGTTGTTATTATTCCTACACCAATAATATATATAAAAAAAAAAAATACAAGCCTGTTCATTGCATGCGATTGAAGAAAAGTCTCACTCACAGGCCTCGTGTCCTTAGCTAAACTGTAGATGTTTTAATGAGATAAGGTGTATTATCTCTTTCCATGGAAGTTTAAACAAAATGTGCCTTGCTGAGGATATGACAGTGATGTAAGAGAGTGTCGACTGTGTGTTTCTACATATGGGACAAGGTGGTGTAGAGTCTTACCGGTGAGAGTTTCTGGATGAGGTCATGGGCCACATGGACCAAATTCTTGTCTTCCTGCATGTGCTTCTGGAAGCGCCGGCTCTCCTCCTCCTCTAGTAGGTCAAAGTCATTGGCAGCATCGAGCAGGGCCTGGATGAGGCCTTTCCAGGACCGGAGAGCAGGAACCTGAGGGGCCACAGCAGAGCTCACCCCTGTGCCGATCACCAAGACGAGCTCTGGCGCCCGCTTGGTCTTCAGGCTGGGAAGCAGTTTCCTTTGAGGAAGGCAAGCATTTAATGCTGATGGTGCTTCGCAAATCCTTCCGCACAGCATTAAATAAACAATTTTTAATCAGAGTTACAAGATTTGTGAAATTAAAACCCTCCAGTATGTAGAAGTGGTTTGAAAAAATAATTGTTTAACCAACCCCGCAAACAAAACTGATGCATGAGTCATGGGCAGAGTGCAGCTGTATCCAAAGCAGAACCTGAGCTTACCTAGGCTTTTTTGCGTTGGAGTCTGCATCCTGAGAATCAGCTGCAGGTCGCTTCTCACTTTTCACTGCAACAACGGAGGCCATTCAGGTCCTGTAACAGAAGCAGGTTCAACCCCATGTAAACTCTACATACAGCATGCATGTGTTGCTTTATTGTCATTTGTGGCGCTTGCCTCTTAACTAAACGTATCGTATTGGAATCATGTCGTAAAGGACACTTTAATTCACATATCCATGCCAGTTTTTAAGTGTCATGGCAAAAGATAACAGTGCTTCCTTATGATCTACATTACATCGTCATCATTTCGCAAACAGGAAATAATTTATTAATTTTCTCTTCCGACTGAAGATCCCAATTGCCAGGAAAAAGGACTGTAAGCGCGCGCGCACGCGCACACACACACACACACACACATTTTAATAAGACTAATATTTGAATGGACCCAAGCCAGTGGAAGAGCAGACCACTCTGAACTTGTATTAAGATTGCCACGTATTCACTTTAAGATGCAATGTCCCTCTTTTAGTGTGTATGAATTGTATGTTGCACTGTGTATGGGGAGTTATATTTTATTCCCATTACATGTACATTTAATGCTACGTTAAAGATACAACCTACAGAAAATGCTAAAAGTTAGCATCAGCATCATGTTTTGATAAATACATTAACACATAACATCGTCATCATTTTTTGCAAACAGGAAATCATTTATAAATGTCCTCCTGGCGAACACCGTGCCTAATACTGATGACACATGCTTAGGCTATATCAAAAGATACAACCGACATTAAAGCTATTGTTTCTTAAACTGTGAAAGCCAAGGGGATATTACCACATTTGTAACGGTTTCACAGCAACATATGCAAAAAGTTAGCGTTAGTAGGTCAACAAGTTAATGTTTTAATGCAAACCTTAACAGGTGAGGAAATAAAAAAGTTGCAGTTCCCAAGACAAGGCTTAACAAAACGTAACTTCAGAAGCTAACTGAACATGAGGTTACTTACCTTGATTTAGGTTGTGTTAAGCTAATGCCCAGTGTTTATTTGAGGCGTTCAAGTGCTTTAATTGTCGTCAGCGAAAGTTGATTCAGTAATGTGAGCCACGTTGAATAGCTTACATGCATGAATTTGAGTACGTGCCTTTTAGCTTGGTGTGATGTCAATGCTAACCGGTTGATAACCGCATTAGGTAACTGGTACGATATTAACAGACAAAGAGAAGCCGTTAACTAACAACTAGCATTGAGCTAACGTGTGTTTTTTTTAAGCTAAGTTAGCTAACGTTACATCCGAAGTTGTCAAGATCCCGAAACCGTCTCCCTTTCACTTGTCATTCTGTTAAAGCAGCATATATCCGGTGTTGATCAATCGTTTCAACTTAAAGTAATTCGGTTGATTTCCCCCCGAGTTACTGTAAACACTTGAAATGCTCTCAAGTTTACCGGCTGCTGCTACAGTGACGATCTATGTTTAAGTTTAGCGGAGCTGCTGGAGTCACCGCCTGCGGTCTTATGATGCCTTCATGGCCTGTACGAATAACTGAATTTAGCTTGTTGTCTTGGTGTTGCTCTTGCTGTAGCCTGCAGGGTAGGAAAAAGACCACATCAAAGCATACTTTTATCAGTAAAACTTCATTAAAATAGATATCAGTTATGTGACAGAAAGAGACGGTATTTCCATGCAATGTATGTGAAGATTAAGCTTATCTCAGGACATTTTACTTGTAAACGTGATGCAGTTTGTAAATATAGCATTCCTTTGTGTTATTTATATCCACGCGTTCATTTACATATTATAGTTTTAGAACTCATTCTTGCATTACACCTTTATGTTTTACTTCGCTTACCTAGGCCTACTATGTATTTACAACGTCAAAGCTATGAAGAGCAGATTTAGAAAGAGCACTTGAACGCAGCAAAAGCCAGACAGCAATTTACAGTACATCATACTGTGTGGACAGTGTTTACAAAATAAAGCTACTTTGCTACTCTAATAACGTATTGTGCAGATTAAAACCCTTGAATACAGTGGCATGTTAGTTTGCACTTTCTAGTACACAGGTGTTACATCCAGAAATCTGCAGAATCAAATGTGTAATGTCCCTCTTTGGGTTAGCCCAATTATTGTACAATTGATGCATGAAAATTAAGAAATAGTCAGAACATTCAGCATGCTCATGTGTACTCATTGTATTTGGAAAAGGGACTTTCATAACAATAATGAAATACATTCTTATGGAACAACTCATAACAGTTTTGAGGTTAAGCTAGCACATTTTACTTCACCTAGCAGCAGCCCTTTTGCCGGTGACCTGTTTTCCTCTGATACATTTGCGTCTACCTTTCTCATGACTTGTTATGCTTAACAATAACACGTCAGTGCCGACTACCACATGGACACTACAAGCCTGCCATCTCCTGTTGAAATTAAAAACTGCATTTCTTTAAATGTAAATAATATACATAACCTCTCAAAAAATCCATAGGCCTACACCGGGTTGTTTGTTTTTTCAAATATTTAAAAAAAAAGATCCATTCAAGTATTTTCTAATACTTAGCACTCCATAAATACTCGGAATTGGGTGCAAACATTCCATATATGTGTGGGACAACCTTGAATGGTTAAGGTTGCCTGAGATCACTTTTATCCTTTGCTTTGTAGAAATGCCAATAATATAAAGCATGTAGAGTATTAGTTGCTATTTAGCAGAAATGCTCTTTACTATCTACAAATAGAGCCCTTGGCAGCAATAGAAGGTTCAACCTTTATAACATAACAGAACTTTATGTTACAGCTCTTACCAGATTTGCAGCTATATTTCCAAGGTGTTAACACAAATAAACAGAGCTGTAGTGTGTATTCTGCACAGGATCCGAGTGGTGTGAAAGTATCATTTCCTGAAATCTTTATAGATTTGAGTTAGTAGAGTTATGAGGCAAAACTATTTTAAGTTAAATGGCAAGCAGTTTGACAAAACTCAATTTCTGGAGGTAAGCAACACTTTAAACTAAACAATGAACATTTGGATGGCTGATAAATTAGGAAGTATAAAGACTAGATTTATCGATGTAGAAGGTTAGTTTATGGTCACAGTTGGATGTGATAAATCAAAAGATGTATTAAATAACTAATGCTATCTGTAAAACTGCCAGTGTGCAGCCTCAGAACATTAAAAGCCCACTCATATCTTCCTTTTTATTCAATTTATTTGAGGATCAATCAAAATTAACATTGTATGATCGAAAACATTTGACATACGTCTCTCAAAATGCCAAATAAAACCTTTATTTATATTGGAGTGAGATGATCCACACACGTTCACCTGGTGAGTAAATAAGTTATAATTATAGTGCAATACATATTGTGTAAAGGCATATTTAAAATGACAGCCCACATCAATGCATACTAGTTAGTATTAAATATCATTCAAATACATAACTGATTCAGCAAATACATTTTCAATCTACATATATCAATGTATTCCAAGACACAATCAAACATTAAAAGGCATAGTATTTGTCAATCATCGACATTCAAAAATATTTTTTCATTTAACAATGTTTTTTCTCAAATCATCAACCAATAAAGAATATTACAGGTGTAAAGTCTCCTCATAAAAAGGCTCCATGTTCGTTTGACAACAGGAGAAAAGGCAAAGTGGTCACATTTGATAACATTAACCAAAACTCTCTCACACACAAGTAGTAACTGGTTTATTTGCAAGAAACTTATAATAGGCTGTTTAAAGGTGAGAAATCGAACCCAGAGCCCCTGTAGAGGTCAAATCCCTTAACGTAAGAAATTCTTAATTTTTGTTTCCCTTCTCCAAATGCATCAATCTTCTGTAATTTATAAGCATTTACCTGAAAGTTATACACCTTAATATGTAGTTTATAGGCTGGCAGATCTGGAGCTGTGGTGTTTCACTTATTAGTTAATAATAAAGCTGCACGTTTAGAAACAGTCCCCAACAGAGTCATGTTTCTGGTGTTAGCAGATGTCTAGCTAGATTTGAACCTGGTCTGATGACGGAAGTAAGTGATGGATGTTGAACTCTTTTCAATCAGCGAACTGTAAAGTAATTTCCTCATACCAAAGAGAAATATGGCTTTAAGGGCACAAAGGATTAGCATAGGTCTGGCATCCAGCAGTGTGTTCATCCTCTCTCGGAGCCTGATGTTAGAGTCGATGGAGAGCCAGAGGAAAAGGCAGAAGTTTTCAGAAATCACCGCGGCTCTAAACGGAGATAGAGCCCTCTCTAAAGTCGCTCTTCCCTATGAGAACATTGAGGAGTGTCGCCCTGCCCTCCCGGGTCTCCCTCTGAGCCTGTCTGATGATGTCGCTGAGTCTGTCCTCGTCCTCACGCCCCACAAGGTAGCCCTTACCGCCGTAGCCATCGGCAACTGTATGATAATCTGCAAAACAGGAGAAGAAAATATCGTCGTCGGTTAGTAGCTGCCCAGTTGTCATAAATACATTTAGCCTGTACACATTTTCAAAAGGTATCACATTAGTCACAAAGCATTCTTTACCTGTAAATGCAAGGCCACATGCCACGTTGCTGCCCAGTATGGGAACCTGCTCTCTGGCTATCTGACTCCAACATGCATCATTCCCCACCAAAGCTAGAACTGGTGTCTGCAAAATAAAAAGTAAATGTAGATTAGGGGCAAACAATTAAAAAGTGTGAAAATCTGTATCTGCTGACTGTACTTGATTGACATCTACTCCACTCCATTACAGCTGTTGAGGCAGGACAATTTACACCTTCATTATTTATTTATTTATATATACATGTTATTATTATTTTCTCTTTTAATTGCAAATTCTTACATTTTTATAAATATTTTAAATGCATATAACTTTTGTTTTACTTCATTCTAAAATGGAACAACTCTTCTAGTATTGCACATTTATCATGGTTTAGTGAGTTGCTTATAAATATATAAATGTGAATATATTAGTGATTTTACCTTGTGTCTAGTGAAGGTGTCAAACTCTGCAACACTGTATCCCAAGGAGCCGTCACCATACACTATCCACACCTGAAAAGCACACAGAGTAGCATTTTATTCACAAAGTGTGAAAGTGGCTCATTAGACAAAGTACTAGAAATGACTGCTTTTATATTTTACCTCAGATTCAGGTCGGCACAGTTTTGCCCCTAAGGCAAATCCTCCTCCAACACCCAGGGTCCCGAAGGCTCCTGCAGGGACAAGGAACAGTGGAGTGATGTCATTATGACTGCGAAGAAAGCGCAAGTAACACCAGAACATATTGCTGTAGTAAAGACATAAGTTGTGACAACAAGCGCACACCTGAGATTGTAACCTCTTTGTGTGTGACAAAAAAGCCGACAACTGAAATCATTAAGGTGACTTGAAATGATTGGTTCTTGTTCTATAGTCCTAAAATGAAATGCCCTCTCCTCCACTCACATTTTAAATAACCAAACATCAGTTGTTGATTTGCCAAAGAGATCTAACCTGGATCCAGCCACCGCATAGGTCCTCTTGGTCTCATTATGTAAGCAGCACTTCCAACAAAATCCCCCCCATCGGCAACAATGATGCTGTCCTCTGACATCAGCTCATCCACACGGTGGAGGACTTTCAAGGGATTTAAGTGGCGGTCGGTCTTCTCGTCAGCTTTAGCCCTGAAATAAAAGTACTCTAGTTTATGTGGAGAGATGATTTTGTAGTTACAGATTAGTAGTAGCATTAACATTAGAATTATTGATGAGATTTTCTTTGATTTCTTGTTGTTGAACATCAACTCAGGACATGTCATTTAATAATAGAACAGAGGTTTTCAAGAGATGTTTTAACAGTGCATGATGACTCACTCACAGAGAACAGGGATCATCACCTGTGCTCACCTGTTTTGATCCTCTTTGGTTACATCTCCTGCTTTGAGGCTCTGAGGCCATTCCTCTGGACAGCGATAGCCCTTTAGTCCTTTGGCAAGCTTCATTAGCAAAGAACCAGCATCACCTAAAATGGAGCAACATTGACATTTAAGACTTGAACAGTTTAACTGATGTATTTTCCATTTGGTCCAAAGCTTCAGTATAAATTATTAGTAAGAGGTGTGTGTTAAAAGTCACAAAGTGCTGGAATAATAAATGTCATACTGGGGTTAGTGTTAGTAACACAGTTATCACAAATGAAGCCAGTGACGAAAATGTATTTTTTTTTTAATGGAAAATCCTTCATAGATCACCAGCTATCTGATGACACATTCGTTGTATAATGATGACGCATCACGGGAGCAGCGTGTGAACATACCCTGAATTGCCACAGTCGGTTTCCAGAACATATCTGAGTTTTTCAGCAGCTGCGATTTATCTCTGTTGACAGCGATGATCTTGCTGCGTCGGTTAAGAACTCTGCCGTAGCTCAGCCGGAAGTCACACACAGTGCCTGCAGACAAAACATAATTTTTCCAATATCTTTTGCATTAATTAGTCAATGGGTAGCCTGTGGCTAAACTGACTGCCCACACAGGTCAGATTCCAAAAACTATTTCAACAATCACAGAGCAACTTCCAGAGTTGGTTTACGTTTATTTTAGCAAGAAAAAGCTGTCATTCTGTTAAACCACAACTAATGCCACAAATCAGTTACCCCGGTTAGTTTACATTATTAAGTTAACCTCTGTTATTGCTGTGTCAACATATAGTAATTACATTTGAAGAGTGTGTGTCTGACCTGCTAAGAGCACCAGGTCAGCGTCCTTCAGAGCATCTCGCCTGTTCTGTCTGATGTGGATGGGACTGTCTCTACCCAGCATGCCCCGGGACATGCCTCCGAGGAAGCAGGGGATGCCAAGGTCCTCCAAAGCCTTCCTATACAGCAGAAAAACATTCATTCCCAGATGAGCATTTCTAAGTAAATTTGTCAAAAAAGCCTTCAATTCTATTCTTTTACAGGAAAAGGACACAGGATAGGAAAGTAGAGAAAGAGGGCGGGGGGGGTTCAACACACTGTGCTTTACCTGATGTCATCGGCTGGCGTTGGGGGGAGTGTTGCTTGGCTACCAAGCAAAATAACAGGTTTCTTGGCCCGACTCATTAACTCGATGCACTTTTGTACCTATTTGTAATAAGAGGGGGGGGAAACAGCAAAACGTTTTAACCTCAGAGTAAGCCATCTTATTACTGTACACAGTGAGAGAGATGGCCAATACTGACTGATAGTGTACAGTGTATCTGTCTAAACATGTTGTATCCCCCTGTGAAGCTGACCATTGAGCGGCCCGACCAAGCAAGGAGGCAGAGGCAGAGAGTTCTAATATAACCCGGTGTGGGCATTTATTCCTCTTTGTGGTACAGGATACACAGCCTCAATATGACTGTCTCCTGTGACACACGTCACTAGACAACAACGGAACCGTACACACACACCACAGACTAACGGGACCGTGAGGACTAGCCAACGGCGACACAC